AAGAAATCCACTATTTTTCCAATAGATGGCTTTAGTAATGTGTATCTTGCGTTGTATAAGTGCGATCGGTTTACGCTAGATGGCGTTAGAAAGATAAGATTTCGTACTAAAAGAACTTCTCAGACAGTTTTGTGATTGTTTGACTCAGTATTGTTTGAGCGCGCGTCAAAGATGGACACCAGCCAAGAGAAAATAAGCCATATTTTCATACAGTTTTTCTTCGATAAAGGCGAAAACGCAAGCCAAGCGGCTGAAAATGTGAATAGTGTTTATGGTCCTGATACTGTAATAGCCAATCACGCGCAATTTTGGTTTCGTCGATTCCGATCCGGTAATTTTGATGTCAAAGATGCACCATGCTCTGGAAGGCCAATTGTCGAAAATGTCGATAAAATAATGGAAATCGTCGAGTCCGACCGTCATGTAAGCATTGTTTCGATTGCCCAGGAGCTAAACATTGCACAAAAATCCGTTTGGAACCACTTGAATAAGGCTGGATACAAAAAGAAGCTCGATGTATGGGTGCCACACGAGTTAACGCAAAAAAACCTCATGGACCGAATTTCCATCTGCGAATCGCTGCTGAATCGCAACAAAGTCGACCCATTTCTGTAGCGGATGGTGACTGGTGATGAAAAGTGGGTCACTTACGACAACGTCAAGCGAAAACGGTGGTGGCTGAAAAGCGGTGAGCCGGCGCAAACGGTGGCCAAGCCAGGATTGATGGTCAGGAAGGCTTTGCTGTGTGTTTGGTGAGATTGGCAAGGAATCATCTACTATGAGCTGCTCCCCTACGGCCAAACTCTTAATTCGGATCTGTACTGTCAACATTTGGACCGTCTGAAGGAATCAATTGCCCAGAAGCGGCCAGCTTTGGCCAATAGGAGAGGAATTGTGTTCCATCAGGACAACGCCAGGCCACATACATCGATAGCGACTCGCCAGAAGCTCCGGGAGCTTGGTTGGGAGGTTCTTATGCATCCACCTTATAGTCCGGACCTGGCACCAAGTGATTACTACCTGTTCCTGTCTATGGCGAATGATTTTGCTGGTAAAAAATTCGCCTCAAGAGAAGCTTGTGAAAATCAATTGTCCCAGTTTTTTGCCAATAGGAACAAGGGTTTCTATGAGAGAGGCATAATGGAATTACCTTCAAAATAGCAACAAGTTATCGAACAAAACGGTGCATATTTGACTAAATCGGATCATTTTAACTATGCTAAATAAAGCCTTTAATTTTATACAAAAATAATGGATTTCTTTTTACTACATCTTATATAATTTTAATTCTGGCGACATATTCTCGTATATTTGCTCTATTTGATCTCGTCTTGAGAATCTTTCTGCTTTTTTCATAAGTGTCGCTAGTTCTGTGGCGTATTGCCTGAAGGGTTCGTTTGCTTGCTGCAGACGCCTCTGTACCTTTATCTTTAGTTGTGCTTTATATCTGTAGGAAACATATTATCCACGAAATGCGTTCGTAAAATCGCTCCAATCTTTCCACGATCTCTTGTTTCTGTACCAGTGTAAGGTACTTCCGCGTAATAGTTCAGGTAAGCCTTGTAACATTTGTTCGTCTGTATATTCGTAACTATTTTGCAGCTCTTCGATTTGTTCTAGAAAAGATATCGGATCTCTCCCATCGAATTGACATTCCCATTTGCGTATCTGATTTATTATTTTTGCAATTACAGTGGGGTCGTTTTTATGTACCATTTTCGCTTTTCGGCTTGTTTCTTCGTCTTCTGATCTATTCGGGAATAATTGCGGATTATCGGTCACGTATTTGCTCAACTTCCCTCTCAATTCGTCTAGGGTGCCTTTTGTGGACAGTTCTAGCTCTGCCATCCGCTGAATTATTTGGTCTTTTATTAGTGCATATATCCACTTCATTTTTCATGCTCCATTTTTTCTTTTATGAGCCTGTTTTCTTTTTATTCTTTATTTGTTCGGGCGCCAACTTGTAACGCTCTTGCGTTTTGTGCAGGATAGACTTAGTCGGTACGATCCAAGGTTAGGCTTAATAAATTTCAAGCAGTGGTATAGGTATTAATAATTATAAATTGTATTCTAAGATAAACGCTATTTACAAACTATATACAAGTATAGCGACGCTGTAGGGGTGTGGTCGCGTTTTTGCTCACGTCGTGAATCTAAGTTTACATCGCGATGTCAGTTGCCCGCGTCCAAGCCGCGAGCGGTTCACGGGACGCGGTCGGTGTGGTTTCGCAGTCTTCTATCGCCCGCTTCGTGAGTCTGTGTACTCAGCGGGATTTAAACGTTTGTTGATACCGACTTTTAATCTAGTTGGTTTCAGAACGGTTGTCGCGATTCGCTTCGCGATCGGTACACGCAGTATGCGTTATGCGGTGCCGGAGCGGTTCGTTTGCGCGATGATGCGCTAACGTCGGTTACGCGTATTCGAGAGCGCTCCGATGTATCTCACCGATGTCGAAAATTTTGATCGCGTATTCTGCGCTTTCGCAGTATAGGGAAACGGGTTTAGGAACAATCTAGGAAACGGACGTAGCGTATCCAACTTGGTCGACAGACGGTCTAAGAAGCGGATGTCGACGTCGCGTATCCAACTCGATCGACGGGAATGGTCTAGGAAGCGGCGTTGACGTCACGTATCCAACTCGGTCGACAGGAACGGTCTAGGAAACGGTGTCGACGTCGTATATCCAACTCGGTCGACGGGAACGGTGTAGGAAGCGGTGTTGACGTCGCGTATTCAACTCGATCGACGGACAGTCTAGGAAGCGAATGTCGACGTCGCGTATCCAACTCGGTCGACGGGAACGGTTTAGGAAGCGGTGTCGACATCGCGTATCCAACTCGGTCGACAGGAACGGTCTAGGAAGCGGTGAGGTCTAGAGGTTTGCAACAAGTTCTGGTCGGTTGAGTGTCTCAGCGGAACTCTCCGACGGATCTCTCCCTCAGCCGTTTTCGTGTCGGCTTTTATACTCTAAATTCAGATACAGCTTTGCTGTTTTTGTTTTCGCGGATGGTCGGCGCTTTGTTTTTCGGTGCTTCATTTCGCGGTTATTCGGTGAAACAAAGTAAGTGACGATCCGTCTTTTGTTTTCGTTACTGCCCTTTGGCGTCACATATTTATAATATTAACATTACAAAGGTTCATTGCTCCAAAAATCGCATTTCAGCATTTTCCGGCAAAATGACTGTATCTTTTTACAGCTGTACTGGCGTCAATAGTTCAAGAAGTATACACTAAACCATTTATTATGGTAGAACTAGTGTAAGCGATATTTTTCATAGCAATATAGTGGAACTCACCCTTATAGAAATATCATACTGAGAATCATTGATTAATTACATATTTTCAGTATTAAAAGTACAATATTTAGTAATACTCTGTGATTCAAATACAGCTTTTAGTTCTCAAGTATTTCAATATTTTATGTTACAAATCCAACCTTATGATTGATTTCAATACTTAAATATTGATATGTAATAGTTCGTCCAGTGATAAAATACTTACGCAGAACATTGTCAATATTTAAATACTAATATATAATACTTTGCCAAGTAATGAAATACTTACGCAAAGTACTGTTAAGATTAAAAGTATTAACCCAGACAGCATACAATATTAGTAAGATATTAGATAAATATTTATAAATATTTATTTTGAATTACTTTTTTAAAATGTTATACATTAGGTGGTAAACTTAGTTCCTGCGGCTGACAGTTAGATGACGTTAGTTGTAAGTGTAATTTATTTTGACATTTGAAATTGGCTGCATTTTAGAGGTTAGACATTTGTCAATAAAATTTAGTGCGAAGAGATTCATTTAAGCGGGCAGTGCTATTTTTTCTTTTGATTAAATATGGAACGTAATAAGTTGTTTTTTCGACATGTGCTGCTTCATTACTTTGACTTGAAAAAAACTGCAGCTGCAGCTCATAAATTGCTTTTCGAAGCTTATGGCAATTATGCTCCATCGGAAAGAACATGCCAAGTATGGTTTCAGCGATTTAAGAGTGGTGATTTTGATGTCAATGATAAATAACGCTCAGGCCAACCGAAAAAGTTTGAAGATACCGATTTGCAGGCATTATTGGACGAAAACTCTACTCAAACGCTCCAAAAATTGTCTGCAGCATTAAATGTTACTCCGGTGGCTGTTTCCAAACGTCTACATGCAATGGGAAAAATTTAAAAGGAGGGAAAATGGGTACCACACGAATTAACCGCAAATGCCATTGCGAATCGCTTAAACATCTCTATTTCTCTGCTCGCCAGGCAGAAAAAGAAGAGTTTTTTGTGGCGCATAGTGACTGGCGATGAAAAATGGATATACTTCGATAATCCTAAACGAAGAAAATCATGGGTAGACCCTGGCCAACCATCGACATCCACACCAAAGAGAAATATTCATGGCCACAAAGCAATGCTTTGCATTTGGTGGGATATGCACGGCGTCGTTTATTATGAGCTACTCAGACCGAACGAAAGTATCACGTGGGATCGATATAAATCACAATTAAACCGTCTGAATGAAGCATTGTTGGAAAAAAGGCCAGCAGTAGCCAGCAATCGACGTAAAGTCATGCTTTTGCACGACAACGCTCGACCACACGTTGCCAAAGCCGTCAAAGAAACACTGATGCAGCTCGAGTGGGAAGTTCTCCCAGCGTATTCACCAGACTTAGCTCCTTCGGACAATTACTTGTTCCCGGTCGATGCAATACGGCTTGGTGGATACACACTTCAGAAATTACGAGGATGTGCGAAAATGGATCGACGAATGGATTGCATCAAAAGACCAATCGTTCTATCGTCGCGGAATCTACGCGTTGCCCGAAACATGGGAAAAATGTATAGGTAGCGAGGGAAAATACTTCGATTAATGTATTTTTTGCTTTTGATGTCGAAATAAATGAGTTTTTTAAACAAAAAAACCGCAGGAACTAAGTTTACCACTTAATACATAATAGTAGTAGATGGTGATGTCTGTAACTTATTTCTGCTCTAGGGAAGTGACTCGGAGAGGTATTATCGGAAACACCTAAGGTTTGTTCGCGTCGCATGCCCCAACGTGCTCCTACTCGCTCCAACGTACTCTGATTGGTCCGCGTGGTGACGTGAGGCAGTCAGAGTGAGTTGGAGCACGTTGGGGCATGCGAACAAACCTCCAGTGTGTCATTCTCTCTTTCTCGTTCCGCAGCCACTCCGCAGCCACGCGATATGGAGCGAGAAAAAGGGAATGACATTGTCTCTCTCGCTCGGCGTGAGTGCATGGCCGAGCGCGCGTACTCACATGGACAGATAGAAGCATCTCTGTGTGAGAAGTGGAAGGAATAAAACACCAGTGCGGCCGGGCAAGATTTCCCAGCTCTGCCGCCCAGGCGGGCGAGCGAGCGCGAGGGCGGGTGGGAGAGCAGTGTGTATGTGTGTGTGTGCGCGTGCGTATGCAAATGAAAGTAACACATACGTAACGTCACATACGTATATACGTGTACAGTTTATCATATTTCAATAGATAAATTAATTTAGGGTTAATTTCATAACATTTACATTTTCAAAATTTTAAATCCGAATATCTCCGAAACTATATGCGATCCCTATATAGTTGTATAGGAAAAAGTTACTCAGAATTCCATCCTCTATAACATATTTCAAAAAGAAAACAATCGGAGATGTGTATCCTTGTATGCAGTTTTACCAAATCTTTTAACGATACGAAAAATTCAGTTTCTCTCATTTCATTAGTATTTATCTTTTTTGTAACCTAGCATACAGCTTGCGTAGAGGCCTTTACTAATTTTTTACAATGTCTACATTTTTAGTATATAGTAGATTCATTATTAGTATATAGTAGATTCATTAATTTAGAAAGGCGAAAGGGGGGGTGGTTTTAACACTAATTGGATAAAATGTAAATTAATCAGAAAACCAAGAAATAAAAAAAAATGGAATCTGTTTATGATCTTTAATTGATAATAACTTTTTTATGATTAAAAAAGTTATTGAGTAAAATATAACATTTGAACAAAAATACGTTGGCAACTAGTTTGGGGAGTTCGGGGGGTTCGGGTAGCGAAACTCCCCCGAGGGGAGTTTGGGGAGGCAGGGAAAGGAGTGAGAACTATATTAACAATTTTCCTGCAGAATAGGATTCTGATTGCATTTTTGTAATAAAGAAGTAAAGTGGACCTTAATAAAAGAGTTTTCATGTGTGGGTGCGTGCGTGCGTGCATGCGTGCGTGCATACGTGCGTACGGGCGTGTATGTGTGTGTATGTGTGTGTGTGTGTGTGTGTGTGTGGTCGCTGATTATAAATATCCAGAAATTTGTTAGATGTGAAATATAACTTTGTTATTTTGTTGTATATATTTATGACGTTGCTTTATTTTTTTGTGAGGATGTCTTCTATGAAGTTGACCTTTAAGTTTCTAACATTTAAAACGGAGACGAAATTACAAGCATCAATTTCAAACGTTGCTGATCTAGTTAATGCGTTGCAAATTTGTGAAAACAATCAAAAAAACATTTTTGGAAGGTTTAAACTTCTATTTTCTCGGAAACTTAAAGTGATGGATAATTCTCGTGGTTATATTCGTATTCAACATATCTAATTTACTAAAGAATGACTCAAAACATAAATTTTAAATAAATTTATAAATTTTGCTAAAGTACAAAATCTTGTGACATAATGTTATTATATATATATATATATATATATATATATATATATATATATATATATATATATATATATATATATATATATATATAT